TCAGTAATTACAGAGAGAGAAAAAACATGCAGAGCATAAGTAATAGACAGTTCACAGGTCAAGTCCACAGTCATACTGAAGCAATATGAAATCATCTGGTTGAAAGAAAAATTAGGAAATTTGAGCACCTGTAGAATCGCGTAACACGGTTAACAAATCCAGAAATGTACTCCCAATTGAAGCGCAATGATGTCTTCACTCTTTCAAAACTGTGGCACATGAGCTCTTCATTTCGAACCGCCTAATAAGATATTAAATTTTTACACTTAAAGATTTTGAGATTCCAAAAAACTCAGAATTCAGATATTCTCACCGTCAGCAATGCTTGATCCTCAATTATATTCCATTCCGGGCCTTCATAATCGTACTCTTCCCGGACAGCTGGAGGCGGAGTCACTGGCCGCATTAGTTCTCGACCTTTCTGTTCCAGCTGGCGAGGTAATGCTCGTCGCTCCTTCTTCGATGCTCGGCTATCAGTCACTGCATCTAGAAGCAATGTCGATTGACTCAAAATCCCTCACTAAGAACAGGACCATATTTACCACTTTTAAGCTCACTGTAGCCCTGCATATACTGATCGAACTCAGCAGGTGAGTACGGCGTGGGGCTGTACGAAGCTGGAGGAGGGGTATAGGAGTTGGGTGGATTGTGAAGGGCGTTCAAAAGACTCATCACTGCTGCATCTGACGACGATTGCTGAGCGACATGCGGTGGAGGTATAGGCGGAGGAACTGAAACCACAAATATTGCGAACCTGGAATCATGTGTCAAGACGTGAAACACCAAGAAAACCGTCTAAAAAGTCCCTGCGAGGGCTTTTATCAAACAAAATGAGGCTTACCAGGTTGTTTCACTGGACTGCACGGCTTATTCAGAGAACACGGTAATTCATGTATTTCCTGCGGCAACTGCTCTTCGGTCATGAAATCCCGATCGTAAAGTAGATCCAGACATTCATCGAAATAGATGTCGTTGTCCGTATCAGACAGAGGCGGTGTAGGGAATGGCGTCCAAGTCTATAGACTCCAGATTAAATTCAAAAATGCGAACCTTTCAAACAGTCTGCGGTTCTTCATACTAGAACGTTAAAAACTGACCGGCATGATTTCATCAAGGAAGTCTTGATCGAACGCGAACACCTAAATAATTTATAGTGATGCAGCTTCTATGAATACTCGACTTATTTGGATCTATACTCCACTTAACATCGCTCGCAGATTCAGATGCTAACCTCTTAAGGGAAAGCCTAAGACAGACTGCCTGTTTCTAGTAAGCAGAATTCAATGTCCGTTTACATATAGCAAACGGCGCACCTATGAATTTTTTCCATATAAACCATGAATGTTTCTTGAAATTGGAAGAGTCTCGTTGTTCAAAGCCAGCTCAGTAGCTACCCGAAGCGCCACAGACAGACACCAGATAGTAATCCGCTAAGTAATAAAGCCCTCAAATTCATCCAATTGCTAAACAAGTATGTTCAGAGATATAACCCAGTAGTTACTGTGCCAGATGAAAGCCGAAAGGTGACAGAAATAAGAATCTAGTAACATAGGAGATGAAAGAATCCAGAAAGAAACCCTGCAAACACCCTCCCGTGACAACGTTCAGGGCAATTTCAACCTACTGAAGAGGTTGCAAAAAAGGTGGGAGAGCAACGCCTACAGAAGAAACAGGGCGAAACTGCATAATCGCTTCCATAAATCAGAAAAGTTAGAATGCTGCCAAGTGATACCGCTGTAAAACCGACGGCATTCTCCCCTATAGTGGTTCAAAGCCCAGCTAAGCCGTATCCCTCTAAACTAGTGCCTTACGACAGTAGTGAACCACGCCTGAAAACTGGATTCATGGACATCACCTAAACAATAATAAAGGTCGCTGTGTGAGCTCTATATAAGCCTTTAGGTCTCCGAATTTTGAACGGAAGTAGATATATACTGGAGGAACTGGGATCTAGAAACCTCGAAGACTTTATCCTTTGATTCATGAAACAATTCTTCGTATTCGTCATTCGAACTCTAAAGTAGGCTTACAGTCGTGTGAGGTATGAAGTAGGCTTAGAGCTCTGGACAGCAACAGGAACGAAAATTCAGTACGGGAACTCGATTCAAACGGTGACCCTGTGATCAGGTGAGATACAACGGACCCAGAATTTCGCAGGCAACATACGACATAATGCCTTTAGCGGCATAATCCTATTGAAATGCACAATTCCTAAACCCTTAACGTAGTGCTGCACCAAAGAGGGACTTCGAGGGTAAAGAAGTACAACATCAGGATAACCCGCAACTTCATCTTCAAAATCCACAGCTTGGCTGCTGTAGGTATCGACTTCCCAATTGAATTTTCGTTCCCACTCAATTGCACACCATATTCAAGAATACAGCTACATATGTATGTTACCAAACCCTTCTGACCTTCCATAGTCAATCTAAACATGACCCGTTCAGCTCGCCGCGTATGTCGAGGACGATTGCGGTGCAGTGAATCGCGATGCGTCGCCGCGTCGACCACGCTCTACATGTCGGCCGCGGCGGCGAATCGCTGAGCGACGGACCAGACCGCAACCGCACATGCGCGACGCACAATCAACGGGTCGACGGCCACCAGCGATACACCCAACACACATCGACATCAATATACGTTTATCATTAAACGAGCCACTCATATTCAAATAATGAATAAACAACAGAACAAAACAATGAAATTCCTCTTTGCTGTCAATACAATGCCATCTACAGAGTTTCAACAAAAATAGGTACGCTAAAAGGGAACGGGAATCAGCACCGAGAAATTGTATAAGTCCAAATGATTTGAAATGGAAGGAGAGAAGAAATTTTCTCCATTACATCCTGTATCTTACTAGTTCAAATAGAAAACTGGGAAATAAAAACTAATCAAAAAACTTTAAAGGAAGTGACTGTAAAACAAGGCACAAAAAGAAACCGTGCGTAACGGAATGTGAGATCGCGCGCGTAATTAAGAAAGCAAAACAAGGAATCCTGGGCTAAATCGCTTGAATATGCTGAAAACTTGATATAAAAGCACATAAGAGCATGTGTACACATAATACCATTCCCGTTATTGGCGCTCCGTTGTGGAGTCTTGACTGCTCGTACGATTCCGAAACTGCAACCTTGGTCGCTCATACTCGCCCAACCCAGGCCGTTGGGCTACTGGCGGTTGAGGCTGTGGGTTACTTCTCGCTTGCACTATAACTCGTCGCACAGGTACTGTGCCAGTATGACGAACCGTTGTCGGCATAACCACAGGCATATTACTCGATGAGCGGCCCACTACCACATATCGTTGCTGGGCTCGTTGTGTTGGCACTGAGTTCACTTGGAGAGGAACTCGAGCAATAGAACTTCCTCGCCGAAGAAGCAACGGCGGTGAGGACTGGATCGGTGGACCATTGGAAACAATAGGTTGACTAGAATGACGTGAAGCTGACGAAGGAGTCTGCAGAACCCGCACAGGAAGACGGACTGGAGATGACTGGAAGGAGCGAGCAGGAGTAACAGTGGAGAGAGAGGAGGAAGGAGAAATAGGGAGCTGTGAGTGTCGCGATAGCATGCGCACAGGAAACCGCGGTTGCGGAGAAATCGGTGTTTTGAATGGCGATGTGGAAAGAGTATGATGAGGCGAGGACGATGACGATGCTGGTGTGGTAAGCACTGATCCCACAATCGTCGAAGGACGACGAACGCAGAACGATGTCGATGTCACCGTTGTTGTGGTTTGTGGTGAAATAGGAGGTGATTTAGACTTCTTTATGGCTTCTTCTTTGGGAACCTCAGGAGTTGGTGATGGTTCTTCCTTTGAAGCCTTCCCTGCTGTTGAAACAGATTGCACTTGCTGGACAGCGTCAGCAGAGACCAAAGATTTTCGTGGTGGTCTTCCACGCCGTCTTTTCACTTCGTGATTAGCGTGTGATGGTGATGTGCTTGCAGGTGGAGCTGTTGCTTCGTCGGGCTCCGACTTCATTGGCCGATTTCGTCGCGCAGACACCCTTGCCGTAGCCTTACGAACAGCTGATCGCGCAGCAGTTTGAGCAGCAGACCTTCTCGTACCAGATGTAGAAGAGGGGTGCAAGATTTGAGAAGAAGAAAGTGAAGAATTCAATGGATTTGGAGCAATAATACGCCGACCTGAGAGAGTTTTTCGGGGAGGGGAAGAAATTTTTGACTGCGGTGCGGCTAATCGACTAGAATGTCGTGACGGCATGGCGCGTGCAACGGATGTTCCAGTAGAAGCTGAAACACGGCCTCTACGACGCGACCGTACCTCATCTAATAGCATTCCATTTCCATAGAAGTCATCGTCTATTCGAATTGAGTTTTCGTCTACACCGGTGTTCGTGTCGCCATTGCTAAGAGCTTGATTATGAGCCCGCACCCAATCTTCTCTCTTCTGCTCGATCACTGCCTAAAAAAGTGTACATTGACTTAAAAAAACATCATTCGTCTTAGCCATATTTTTTAGTTACTTCTTTATTTTTTAGAGACAAACTTCGAATCTGATTGGACTATAAAAAACACCTGTAAAATTCTAGTCTGTCAAGGACAGTGGAGCGTAAGGTTAGGGTAAAAAATCGCTCCAGGTACGATGCGGCACGGACTGTTTTTTCAATTAAAATTAGAATTGGCCCAATAAGACGAAAGCTTCGAAATATACCTCAGCCTCTCGGACTTCCTCTTCAAATTCAGGTTTGTATTCAGCTTCAAGGAAGTTCACAGCATAACGCTCTATCGGTTTCAGCTGAAAAGCAAGACTTAACATCAAAACGATTTCATTGAACCTATTATTTACGAACCTGGCTGATCAACTCGATGTATTTCTCGTCGAGAGGATCTTCGCTATCTAGACAGCTCAAGAAGCCACCGAGCGAACCTTCGGGTGCAACGACATTCCGGGTCTCGTCAAACTCAGCAATATCGGCTTTTGTTTCGGCAAGGACCAATCTCGCCGCAGTCACATCTTGCTCATCTTCCAATGTAGCCATAGCCTGGATGTGTGACATTTTGGCCATGAATAAAAAAGGAACAGTAAAAAAACGGAGGCACTACCTTCTCAACATCTCTCTGGCTTTTAGGACGCTCTCCAACGTCAATATCACCTACTTCCACATCACCGTCGAAAAGGTCCCTAGAAATGATAACAACCATTTGACTACTTTTGATCTCGTAATTTAAAAGAGAATCAGTAGTATAACCAACAACAACCACAACTACAAAACCAGATGCATTAAACATTACTGACCGTATGTTGTCCGATTGCTTGAAAAACTCAGGTGTGAATCCAGCATCGTCTATGGCCATTTCACCCAACCGACGCTTTTGATTTGCCTTGCGTAGAATGTTCTCCTCAATTGTTCTTTCCGATATCAGACGGAAAATTGTCACATTTCGAGTTTGACCGATCTGTAAAGAATTGTTTGGAGCGGAAAAACAGTCCAGCGAAATAGGGAAAGTGAGAATCAATAAGACGAAATCATTTACCCGATGGCATCTGTCCTGTGCCTGTGCGTCCATAGTAGGATNAAAGTGAGAATCAATAAGACGAAATCATTTACCCGATGGCATCTGTCCTGTGCCTGTGCGTCCATAGTAGGATTCCAGTCCGAATCGTAGAAAATGACCGTATCCGCCCCTGTCAAGTTCACACCAACACCACCAGAACGAGTAGACAGAATAAAGCAAAAAATCTTCGCATCGGCGTTGAACCGCTCCATCATCGCCTAGATATCAACGATTTCGTTACATCATAGCATATGAAGCAGCAGAAGCCTGCTTTCGAACCTGTCGCTGTTCAATCCCTGTTGTTCCATCTAATCTAAAATACTGATACCCGTGATAAGACAGAAAAGCTTGCAAGACGTCCAACATTCGCGACATCTGAGTGAAAATTAAACAGCGATGCTTGAGAGCATATAGACGACGAAGAAGTCGTGCCAAAGCTTGAAGTTTACCTGAACAAGGCAAGTCAGATGAATTATCAGTAAGCAGTGCGTTTCGAAAAGAAGAGGAGCAATGAAAACGAACCACAGTCATATTCAATGAGACGAAGTTCCGGGAAATGCAGTTGTGAAGCAATAATTGCTTTGTGCGCCAGAGGATGAACCAAAGTTAACAAACTACGAGATTTCTCGTTAATCCGACGATCAGCCAGGCGGACTCTGTATCCATGACCTGATGACGATGTCTGCAACTCGGGAGGGTTCGTAACAGCAGGGTTGACCCAAATCCAGAACCTAAAATCTGCTTATGCAAAACTCATCCAATGATTTTAATCATTTTGTGCCGTACTAGTTTTCGACACTGGGAGTCGTTTTCAAAGCAAATTTACAAAAGAATTTCAATGACCATAAAACCTGTGAATAAGTTTGTTTTCATTTTTGGTATAGAACGCACCCC